TGAAAACAACTGCTACCAAGATCAATAACCTTTATTTCGCATTTTCCATAACTTTTTATCAGAATATTTTCCGGCTTTAAGTCACAGTGTACAATTCCCAATTCGTGCAGGTACAATAACGCCTCGAGGCACTGCCGAGTTATCGCCTGCAACGTATGGTTACTTTAAATATTATTTTTATTTTTTTTGAAATTTGGAGATTAAATTATTTTTCGTATACCTGCAGCCTGTGCATTGTAAAATACGGCTCGGCGCCAGATTCCTGGTTGTATTTCTGGAATTCGTACAAGTTTGCTCGAAGAAGCTCGGTTACTATAAATAGATGCTCCTGCGATAACAAAAATATATATATGCGAAAATAATGCGATAACAAAAATTGAATTTAAATAATTATTGATGTATTATATACCTTATGATAGAAATAATCGTGGAGACGTAAAATGTGGTGTTCATCTGCAGGATCGTGCTTGTTGACGAACTTCAACAGTTTGATTTCGTCTAAGCATTGATCGAGAAAATCTTTGTTATTCTTGATTATCTTTAAACAAATATCGATTCCTAAATAAAGATCGTGTGCCCGTACGACTCTGCTGAAGGCAGCAGAGCCGAGGAATTCAGTGACAAAATATCGACCCGCTATAACAGTATTCAAGACAATCGGAAGCTCCTTATTCTCCTCGAATCCTGTCCTGTGAAAGGCATGAGCAATTAATTAGTTGCAATGTTTTCCGATGCGAAATCGGAATTTAGATTTCACAATGTGAGTAACTAAAAAACCTGTTTTTTCTATGTATGATTCTTAGGTTGAATATTTCGTAGTTGTCTTCTTTATCTTCGAAGATAGCACGACCTTCTTCTTCATCTTCGGTCTCGTGTGGTTCTTCACACTTTGTATCACTTTTTTCGAGTCGAAATTTCTCGGGAGATAATTCCCCTGTTTGCGTAGTAGTCGTTATAAACTTATCTTCGCTCGTGTCGATATCAAAATCATAGTCTTCATCTTTCTGCTTATACCAAAATAAGTCGTTCTGCATATCGAAATCGGGGTAATCACGAGCCGTACCGAACTGATCAGATAGCCTATCGGACGAAGCTTGAGAAGCCGTTCGCGCGACACGAAACCCGTACGGATTTATAAAATCTGCTATTGAATTAGATTATCACTTGCAAAATCAGATACGAGAAAATTGAAAATCATGACAAAAATATTTATTTATAAAAAAAAGAGGGGAAAATCAAAATAGCACTATACCAGAAGGTGATAATTCAGTAGTGGAAGAACCCAAACTCACGAACTCATCGTCGGAGGATCCAATTGAGCTCTC